GGGATATCAATTAATCAACTGTCTCAAAACATTCTTGATATTGTTTATGCACTAAAAACTGTTTTTATATAGATATCAATTTATCCATGTGAAAATGGTTCTCTTGTTGATACAGTTTCATTTTGTTTTCAGTTGAATATTAACAAGTTTTTCTTCAATCTCAGTTGACTAACCATATAGTGGTTATGCTTGACAATTGGATATGAATAGTAATTACTCCTGGTACTTCACTAACACTAATGCATTCAAACACAACGCCAGGAAGTTTTGTTTGAAGCTGGATATGTACCATCAGATTCCGAAAAGTATCCATTAGGAGGCATCATTTCATCAATTGAAAATGCTTTCCATGCAACCCCAGAGTTAACATGCTCAGGCGATGCCCTGGAGGAACTTCGTATATGCTTCTATAAGAATTTTGAGGTTCGTCGTCTCTCTAATCCTCTAACAGATACTGGAATAGATGCTTTATGACTCACATTTACTGATGTAATGATGATGTTGAGAGCATAAAATGAAAATTTTCAGATACTATGTTGCGTCTGTAGAACTCTTTGCCAGTGCCTTTCAAAGAAAAAGAAAAAAAGAAATCTTTGTCAGCATCAACGTACCTTTCATTCTGTAAACTTCCTTGCCATCCAGGATAGTCTCACTCTCACCAGTAGATTTCACAGGACCATAATGCAGGAAAGTTCATGACTTGATCGTTAAAACCAGTTTTCTTGTTCATATGTAGAGGGCTACTAAGGTTTTGCATGTCGCCGAAAAGCCAACTGATGAGAAAACGAACAGAAGACAATGACCGACCTTCTTTTATCATCCAGTACCCCCTCATCGTCACTTTATTCAATATCCTATTTGTTAAGAGCAGTGGGGTTAGGAAGAATACAGGCTTTGTTTCGGTATACTGGTTTCATGCATTTAATTTGTAGTTTGAAGGGGAGCCTTGGAGGAACGGTAAAGTTGTATCCGTGTGACCTTTAGGTCACGGGTTCGAGCCGTGGAATCAGCCGCTGATGCTTAGGGTAGGCTGCCTACGTTACACCCCATTGTGGTGCGGTCCTTCCCCGGACCCAACGTAAACACGGATGCTTCATACACTGGGCTGCCCTTTAATTTGTATTTTATTTTGAATCTCTATTATTAGCAAACTGTCATTCCATAATCTTCCCCACTAATATATGATTCAATCCCTGTCCCTTCTATAGCCTCGTGACTGTGCACATGATACTAGTGCCTTATCAAGAGGGTCATGTCCTCAGTATGTCAGCTTGCCAGCCCATGGATCAAGGGGTATGTTCTTTTTTTATTAACTTTTTTCTCTTTCTGCTGGATTTCTGTTAAGCTTAGTTGATCTGAATGTTATAAAAGTATTCTCCCAGTTAACAAATATGAAGTTTTGAGAGCCATTCTTACCATTGTTCCAAGTACCATACATAAGAGAAATATGACACGCACCGGATCCCATCAGAACTCCGAAGTTAAGCGTGCTTGGACGAGAGTAGTACTAGGATGGGTGACCCCCTGGAAGTCCTCGTGTTGCATCCCTTTTTTCCTTATCAAAAAAAAGAAAAGAAAAATATGACATGGTAAATGATGTACGTACTGAGTTAAGTGCAGCGGATAAAGGAGTAGCTCCATCCTCTCTGATTGCCCTATGTTGGAATAGGTGTGAATACACCTAGGCATTAATGGCATAGTTCATTTTCATGTGAAATAGTGGCCCTCATTTTGTTTTGAAATTAGAATATGCCCAATAGTAGGATGCCTCTTTCCTGTAAATATTTTATGCATACTTTTTGGTTGGTTGGCACAATAAATAATTTTTTAAACTGGAATATATTCAAAAATTGTGTTGCATTACTAGTCACATGAAGTGAAACAGTTGTAAGCAACTTTTATATACAAGGAGCAATGAAATGCCCATACTTGTGAAATTTCAATCCCTTCATAAATCATACACGAGTGCGCGGATGATGAATTAATCCGTCTTTGACTAACTAGGCCTATAAACATTTTTTATGACAGTGAACCAAACAACGAAAAGCAAAATTGTGAAAATTGACCCCTTAACATACTCTAGAAATCCACTCAAATTTAGAAAATTATTTGTCTCCTTACACATCTGCGCATGTATTTGGTGGGTATTTGCAGATTCTTTACTTGTGATATCCCAGATTAATAGGAGACACTATGATTAAATAAGTAGTAAATAAACGTAACACATTAATTTCTTGTTTCATCTCATTTGTTTCCTTTTGGCTCTTGATGGCATAGTTCATTTTCATGTCAGTTTTGAGCTCTCCGAGAAGGTTTTTTCTTGCAACTTAGGGAGATAATAAACATTCTGCTTGGATCAGCTTCCGTATACTTACTACTAATTTGTCTCTGCTCTCTCCATAAAGTGGCTGAACATGCTTGGTTTCGCAAAAGCTCAACTAAAGAATATTTCAGGATAATTGGATTATATTAGTGCAGTTCTTAGTGTTTCCACCATGAGACTGAATGACCAGGACCAGGCAAGGAATGTGAAAGTTGGTGTGCCACACCTGTTTGCACTTTGGGTAGACGTGTGTGTGTGTGTGTATATATATATATATATATGTAATACTGTCTCTTCCTTTTTGTTCACTCGCTAGGTCGGAGTAGCTATAGAGATATTTACCTGCTATGATAGGGACATAGTGTAGCCACATTGTGATAAGTTTTTTGTTTTGACTTTTTGGTTTTACAGAGGTTAGAAGCAGCAATACAACAGCAGCTTCTTAGTCTACAGAATAGTCTCTGGTTGGTGAAGCGTAGTGACAATACAAGTTTCTGCTTGGGACAGATCAATACTTTAACACATGCAAATGTACAAGTGGATGAATAATATTTGCTTGTGAACTTTCAGTCTATAATCAATGTAACTTTAAGCAGATTAATATTTTCCTTTTATGCTATTTCCAGTCTACTAAAATAACTTTTCGACATGGTTTATCTTTGCTTGTGCATAAATATAAAGAACAGTTGGTGGAATTTTGCTAATTTCAGTATTTACCAATTATGGACCACTAAGTGTTAGTGCATTGGTTCCCTTGTAGGGAAGTGAGTTTGGGGTGTTTAGAGTACCTTGAAGCTATGGTCATTTCAATTTTTCATACAAACCAACGGTCGTTTCATGTCAATACTTGTTCACTGCCCAAGCATCTAATAGGGGCAGGCTGGAGGTGATGTTTCGTTTCAGAAGTAAACAAAGCACAAGCTACGAGTGACACCATTAAGGTTGCTTAGAGTAGGGATGGTAAACGATGCCGTGCGGTTAGGGGGCAATAAACCCGCAAAATTTTTAACCCGTCCTGCATAGCATTTGTACCCGCATTCACCCGCTCCAAACCCACACCCGCGTCCACCCGCCCTGCCCTGCATAATTTTTTTTCTTTTCATTTTGCTAGTTTTTTTATTAATCTTTTTGCTGGTTTTTTAATTTCATCAACCAAAAATTTGAATGTTCTTTTGTTGCTCATGTACTGAATTGTTCAACTAGAACTGAGGATTCCCTCATTCAGTATGAAATGAGCGAGTCAGAATTGGAATGCTGGATATGACAAAAAACGAGAATGCTATGCTGATGATATTGAAATTTGGAAACAAATATGGCAACAAGTGACTTCAAACTTCTATAATTCTGGTTGGTTGCTACTATGTTGTATGCTTTTAGTATAAATTCAGGATTTAGTTGTATAATTTTTCAAGTGACAAAAATTAAAATAGTGATTTTTATGTTACAAACCTTCACTAAATGATTTTTAAGTGGCAAATGTTAATAATCTTAATCATAAAAATATTTGTCAACTATATTTAATATTTCTTTAAATGTCTAACTTTTTTTCTTTTCTTTCAAAATATCTAACTTCATTAACATTTCACTAAAAGGTGAATTTGAAAAAAAAGAAAGTATAAATGATTTATTTTTGTTTTTATGAAATATCAAAATATAAACAGATATTATGGTCTTTAAGGTTTGTCACAGACCTTGCTCATGTCTTACTAGATAATTTTAGAATATACAATAGGCCAAAACCAGAAAACTTGTGTAAATTCGCGTAAACCCGCAATCCACCCCGCACCGCATCAATCTTTTAAAAGATTATCTCAACCCGCCCTGCAACGCATAGATTTAAACTCGTACGGCCCATATAGCCTTAAACCCGCACCGCCCCGCTTACATCCCTAGCTTATAGGTTGCAATGCCTAATGAAGCATCTCAAATAAACATTCATCTGTGTTTGTGTTTTGCTTGATGAGGACGAGGTTATATTCATGGGAGAGGTAATGCATTGCAAACTATGTTAATTTCATTTAACAACTGATGTTGTGACTATGCTTCTCGGGAGACAAGGGTCTATCAAGAAGTTTTTCTACCTTCACAAGGTAGGGGTAAGGTTGCGTACACACTAACCTTTTCAAACCCTACTTGTGGGATTAGACTGGGTTTGTTTTGTTCTTGTTGTTAATTTCGTTTGTGAGCACGTGATTTTTGCCCTATATGAATTACTCCCATAATTTCAAAACAAAAATATTTTCTTTTATTATTTTTCAATTTTGTGATTTTTCGTGGCATTTTCTGTTAATTGTTTGCATTTGTTTGCGCATTTTTAATTCATATAAAATACAAATATGTGCATTGCATTTTAGGGTTTAATTTTTGCATACTTTTTTGGAATTTGATTGGTAATTAGGAGTTTAAAAAAATCCAAAATCACAAAAATAGTTTACTTTGTTTTAATTTAGTTTTTGGAATTTTGGTAGTTTTCCCTTTAAATTTGGTTTCTTAATTATTTGTGGTAATTTGTTAGTTATGGTTAATTAATTCAATGTGATAGGATAATTTGATTTAGGAATTAATTTAGGTTTTCTTTTTAGTTTTAAAGAAATTAACAAAAAAAGAAAGAAAAGAAAAGGAAAAGGAAATAAATAAAGGAAGAGGAAATTGGGCCAGCTTTAGTAGTTAAATCTCTAGCCCAAACGGACCACCAGCCCAAGCCATGCCCCAACCCGGTCCAATCCTCCAGCCCCCTAGACCACTCAAACAACGTAGTATCAGGCCAATACTATGTCGTTTTGAGTTCCTTAAAACCAAATCAATCTCAGCCCTTTAATCCAATACATCGAACGGCCAGGAACCCTTCCCCCCTTTAACTTAAAAATGAATAACCTAAGACCCCTGTACTTTGACCCCCCATCACCCCCACTCGTCTCTCAGAGATTCCACCAACTTCCGTCACAGACCACCGTCTGCCGCCTGCCGGAATTTGCTCACGGCGGCGGCCGGCGGTCAAATGCCGCCAAAACCACACCCCTAGACCCTCTCACCCCCCTCTATCTGAATATCAACATAGTTCTCCTCGAACCCATCCCCATCTCCTCAAATCTTGAATCAAAAATATGGGCCCCAGTGCCCTCTTTGCCTCCGATGGTCCGTTCAGGTCTGGGTCGATTTTCCTCCGAGTTTGAAGAATTTTTGGACCAGGAACA